GTGTCTGCGAACTCCCCTTCCCTCGGCAGAACACCCCCCAGCGCCCTGGGGTGCCTCCCCCACACCCCAGTCCCCCAGAGCGGACTGCTCTGACTGCAGCACTACCGCTCAGGAAGGCTGCGGTCACTCGTGGGAGGCTGCTGGCAGCAAAACCTCTCCTTGCTGAGGTGAGGTCCCTTCCGTGCTCCCCTCCCCAAGGAGATGCGCTGCCCTTGGCCACCCCGGGCCTCCCAGTGGCCTACAGCCGGGCAAGTGGAGGGCACAGGGCTGGCACCCAGCCCACTGCCTGAGCACATCGATCAACAAAACTGGCTTGGCTTTGCTATCAATAGTACCCTAAAGCAACACGAAGATGTCACCAGAGGTTCCCTCTCAGCTTCTGGTGTTGCCAAGCACGGACTAAATCTGCAGAAATCCAGACAGAGCAAGCTGGGAACCTGGTTCGTGCAGATGACTGGCAGCAAGCAAGCTGCTTTCCTTTGGACGGAGTTGGCTCCTGTGCGCTTAGCCGGTGGGACTGTGCTTGTTCAAACACATGCTGCTCCCTTCCTGCTACGCAGCCAGGACTGCTTCCCACAACAATTACAGCTCTTGTTGCTTTCTCTCCTCCACCCAAGCAGCAGCTCAGCCTTTGCTCTTGGACATAAACACCTTCCCCCTGCAGCATTTGAGACAGCTCCTCTGGCACTTCCACCTGCGTCCGTGGTCTCAGAGAAGCCCTGATGGGCTGGGAACACATCACCAGCTGCGGCATGACATTCACCCTTTGCCTGCAAGGTAAAATGTGCTTTCAAGTGTCACTACATCCCCTCTTAGCTGCATTAGGAATTTGGAGAACAGCAAGGAAGAGCTGTGGGTAGCACTGGGGGAGCTGAGATGGCTCAGCCTGCTGTGTCCGGCCAGGCAACTCCCCTTCATCGTAAAGCAGGTCACTAGGTCCGAGGCTGGCACGCTGCCCAGTATCAGTGTCGGGCTGCTGTGGCCGAGGAGCTTGGCCCCGCTGTCAGGGCTCAGCTGGTGGCAGTGGGGCTTTGCATGTGGGTGAACCACAGTGCGGATGACGTAGACTGAAGGTGGCGTGCAAAGGGAAGCGGTTGACCACCCCCAGGTCCCAAAGCCTGCTCAAGCACCCCGAGCGAGATGACGCAGAATGATTTCTGCATCCACTGCTATCCAGAGAAGGATTTTTTTCATGAGCTGTGACACTTCTGTGAACCCAGAGGATGTGATAATAGGTTAAATTCTGCAGCCACGTTTGGCACCACACAGTGTTGGCTCATACTTTTCATTTGGGAGTGTCTAGCAGCATCACCCTGAGACTGAAGCCTGGCTCATTCCCGGGGACTACAGCATCAGAGCTGGCTCTGTTCTGGCTGGTGATCCCTGCGGAGGTGTCAGCTGGGGTCAGGCAGCTCCTCTGCTCCCTACTTAAAAAACACCATCACCAAAGCTGTATGTGAAAGCACGTAGTCAGGTTTTTATAATGCCTTCATTTGTTTAAAAGCAGTTAGGAGAGAGCAAAAAAAAGAGAGCAAGCCATCATAAGCAAAAATGAAGAACTAGCAACACTGTTGTATGTGACTCAGGAACCATGTGGTGGTAAAGACAACAGTCTTTAGTCATTTCAGGCAGTCGTTAAAAGGAGACCCTCTTCAGCCTCCTGGAAAGCAGGTCCTGCCTCTGACAAGGCCAAATAAAATGCGGACTTTTCTCCCTGAGCACAATCCAGCTGTATGCCTCAGCTCCACAGCTGCAATAGAATTGTAATTGAGAGCAGACAGATTCTTGGTCTCAGATGCTGTACACGAGCTCTTAAAAGCCTTTTCGTTGTAATGGAAAGTCAAAGCAATGATTTTTAAGATGTGTGTTCCCCATCTGCCAACTATGAAATGGCAGATGGCCGTGGATGCAACCTCACAGCCAAACGGCAAACGAGGAGTCAGGCTGCACTAAGAAGATTTTCCAGAAAACAGCTATTACAGACTTGGCTTTGGTGCCAAAAGACAATAGAGAAATGGGCTTTAATAAATTGCCTAAATATGCATTTATCTTGAAGACACAGCCACCTCGATCCTCCGAGCATACCAGTGTCAGAAAGACTTTAATAGCTTCGAGCGAGCATTGCAATAGCTTGGATAAATAATGTGAATTTTATTACTTTCCAAGAATGATTTCTGAGGGAGTTAGTGCCCTGGCAAATGCTGGAAGCTGATGTTGTTGCATGAACTCAATGCGTAGAATTTGTTTCTCTTAAAAGGAGGGCAGCAGAAAGTGGGATAAAGCTGGGACTGCTGGGGACTGGTCATCTTAAATTGCATTGCTTCACCCAATGTGTATTTTAAGTTATGCCAAGGATGTAAGGGTAAACATCTTTTTTTTTTAGCATTTCAGTATGTCTAAATATACCAGTGAGCAGTATTTAGAGGCAGGCCACTGTGAGCCAGAGAACTGAAGGGCAGAGCTGACGCAGTACTTCTGATTCACAGCTCCCGGTTTTTGACTGTGTGACACAGCAACAGAAATGAAAGTTTGTTATCTTACAACTGAAGGGGCAGAAGCCAGGAGCATTTCACCCCAGTTCTGGCCTCTGGTTTGGCCCGAGACTGAAAGGGGAATTCTGGAGCAACAGAAGGAATCGCTGTATGTGATAAATCATCTAATTCACATTTATCATCTGATAAAGTGAAGGCCTGTAAGACGCAGGAGCCGACAGCAGCACAGCTCTGAGAAAGCATCTTCCCTTGAGGGAGGGCTCTGTTCTTTTTTTCACACTTAAAAAGCTCGGTTCCAGATATCCAGGCACTACCCTGGGCACCTGGCCCATGGTTAAACATTGCAAAACAAACACAACAAAAGACTCCACAGCTCCCTCTGTTCCCTGATGCACCAGCCGCTCCTCTCCTCCCTCAGCCAACCAAAGGGAGACAGTGGCCCTGCGATTCTCAGCTGCTTCAAACTCTGATGGGGCACTGGGGGCTGCAGGATGCTCCTTGTACAGGTGGGAAAGGGGTGCAAGCCCTCCTGCCAGCTCATCCAGGACCCCCCATAATGGGAGAATATGCCCAGCTGTGCCTGAGCGCAGCCCCAAACCCCAGCCAGACGGCCCTGGGTGCTCCAGAGATGCCAGCCCAGCCTGGCATGGAGCAGGTATTCAGGCTATGAGTTTCCTTTGAAGGTAAAAGACCTTTATGAGAACAAAAGTGAGGTTTTTGCAGATGCAGCTCATCTGTTCCTGAGCTGTTTCTCCCACAGGTGCTCTGGGCTGATCAGGAGCTCCGGCCAGGACAGCTGCTTTGTCCAGCAAAATAAAGACACATGATGCATCGCTGCCCTGTCTCTGGTCGGGATGGTGGCTGCACGAATTTGGAAAAAGCACAGATTCGTTTGTCAGGGGAGATCAATAGTTTATTAACTTAAAGGTCAGTTCACCAAAGCTCCCATCTTTCCTTGGGTTTGGTCCAGGCAGGTGAGGACCGGTGACGATGTGGCTCTCCCCTCTTCACCTGGCTGAGGTAAGCTCTAGTGGGCAAGCCCAGGCAGGGCGCATGTCGTTGCAACCGAAACCAAGCAGGGGATTATCCCAGCTCTGTGAGGAACTGGTGACAATTCATACTGTGAATTTCATTGGCAAAAGGTTTAACTCGTTAAAACTATTAACAATGAAAATCAGAACATGCAGCGTAGGAAAGAGCGTT